CGATTGCTGTTAGTGAATTAGTCAACTAAGAAAATATGATATATTGCTGATATATATATATCAGCAATATTGCTTAAAAAAATAAAGGAAACACTCCGAACTTAACATTATATTGTAACTATATATAATAAAACTGGTTATTTTTAAATTCTTAAATTTGTCAAAAATTAATTAAAATACTTTAAAAGAGAGCCGTGTTAAAAATAATTTCAATGGTGCCAAAGCTGGCTATAATGTTAAGGTCATATTATAAACAATTTTTAATTTTTTAAGAAATGCTAGATATAAAGATTGTGTATAAATCTAAAACCTTTCATCATTGTAAAATTTTATAAAAACGTAATAAAAAAACCTGTAGACCTTGTGAAGGCATAAGTTTAATTTTTTTATTTAAGTGAGAAAATTATAATATAGAGAAAAGCAACGTATATTTTTAAAAAAATGTCGAAATAATATGCAAGTATTAAAAAACTAAAATTGAGCAATTTGTGGATATTTCTATAAAACAATGACCTAAATCATATCACAAAAAATGTTAAAGAATGGTTGTTATTCAAAGTGTCAAGCAACTTAACATACCGTCACAAACATCAGATATAAATACAATAGAACATGTATGGATTAAAATAAGCATAAGACTTAAATATATTATACTCTAATATAAAAAAAATTAAAAAATGCAATACATCAACTGGAATAGTATTAACGATACTATTTCAGTGAAATTAGTAGAATCAATGCAATAACGAATGCACAATGTCCTCATAACTAAAGGAATGCTAACTGACTATTAATAAAGCTAAATATATGATGAATATTGTATATATTTTTTTATTTAAAAATATTTATGTTATTTTCTTTGTAAGTTTTTTGATGAATTTTTTCTATATATACATACAAGTTAATTATAAATTAATTTTATATCTATTTAATTTTAAGTTATATTTTATATGTTTTTAGATAAATGTGTTTTAATAGTATAAAAATTTCAAATTTTAAGTGACCATTTTTTGTCAAAAAAATTGATAATATTGTACGAAAACATTATTTTTAACCCATAGTAATTTTTGAACAATTTAAATGTTTACTTTTAACCTATAAATTATCTTTATTTATAAATATTACTCATATATTATAACAAATAATACAGTAAATAATTACACGTTTTTAAATAAATCAGTTTGAATGAATATATATATATTTTTTTGTTAGATAAGATTTTCTGTCTTTAATGTAAATAAGTACTATAAGATAATGTATAAAATCCAAATTAAGAACTATATAAGCATCCATCTCAAGAAAATATTAATTTTATTACTTATAATTTAATTCTTAATTTTCTGTTAATTTTATTGTAAGCTATTTCATTTTTATAGATTACTTTGTGCAACTTTTAAATAAAATTGATAAAACTTCCAATCAGTTATGTCCATTTTTAGCAGCTGGTGTTGTTGTTAGTACACTTTACTGGTCTGCTGCTTCTTATGGAGCAATTACTGTTATGCAGGTACTAATTTTAAAGTAATAACAAAAAATTGAAAATTCTTGTGTATTTATAGCTTGCATGTTTTAGGTTATGGGAGAAGAAGAAGCTATATCTATGATGGAAAATACTGATCCATATTTATTACTTTTAATGTTACCAGCAATACCCCTTACATTGGTATTGGGTAAAACTATAGACTGGGAAGAAACATTACTTTTAATGATTCAACGTTTCACTTCTAATCTTCCTTTTTTAAGAACCATCATGCCTTCATTTTTGTAATTATTAAAATGATCTTTTCTTGAATTTTATCAAATTAACATAATTTGTATTATATTTTATGTAGGTGTGAACCTATTAATAGAGTAAACAGTAATAATCCAGTACAGTTTAATCCTGTTATCAGTCCTACAACAACTCTCTGTGCTGCACTATTATTGCCTACTACATCAACATTAGTTGGAAATATTTTATTTGATAGTAGTTCATACTCTAATTTTCAAAAAACATTATTGGTAAAATAATATAATTATGTTTTTCATTTTAGTATATAATATTTGATGATTTCCTTGGTTTAGGGTGGACTAGTTTACATTGCAGTCAAAGGTGTGTTAAGAATTTATCAAAGACAACATAATGCCATTAAAGATAAAACCCGTAAAGTCATTGATTATCCTGATTCTGAAAGTGAAGATGGACATCAATTAAATATTCTATGACTTATTGCATCACTAGCTTAGTAATTGAAATAACTAAATTATAATAAAAAAGATTTGTAATATAATAATATATGTTGTAAAATTTTTAATTTTAAGTAAAATGTTTAAAAAATTGATTTTTGAAATAGATAATTTATATTTAATAAAGTATTTATCATTTTTAAAAAATATATATTTTTTTCTATTATTTTAAAACTGATTAAGTAGATTTAGTTTTGTTATTTCTGAATTGTTAGCATATAAAGTCTCATGAGGCTATGATATTACATCATTTTCATACTACTCAATTTAATGTTATATTGATCAAATTTATATTCAAGCCATTAACTTAATTTCTTTATCAATCTTTAATAGACAAACCCCAATATTGAGTTAACTATTTTATGAATTTATATCTAAGATCAAGTTAATAATTATTGAAAAGTCTTCTTTTATTTAATAACGTATAGTATTAATAATGAAACTCACGGAATTCCTCACATTTTTCCATATTTCATTAGGCCGCTTGTCTAATCATAAATAAAAATAAATAAACAGTGCTTATGCATTATAATCAAATAACATATTCAATTACTTTATACTAACTATGATTGAAAGAATTTTAAAAAACCCAGCACGGGGGGTGACGTGCGATAGTTAGATCAAGTATAATAATATCTGACAGTAATTAAAATCACTATCAAAAAAACGCTTCGATGCCAATCTTTAGATAATGTTTAATTTAAAAAAATTGCTGGATTATTCCAAAAGCTACATGATCTGATATTTCCTTATTAATATCCTGATTTAGAAAAAGTATGTCAAATGAAAAAGGGATATAAATATTATTTCTCATAAAAAAATTATGTTGATCCATACACTTTTCAATAAGTTATAGCATTATAAAGTTAAAAATGTAAAAAAATAAAATTGAAAATTTTCACACAAAAATAGCATTTGGTAGCCATTTACACCGTGAAAACAAAATAAAGTCTGAAATTTTTTTAGCTTCGATGCGAAGCTGAGAAGGTATTAATTTTACCATGATGTGTTCTTTTTTTTTTTTTTATGTCTGTTGCCACTTTTTCTCAGCTCTCACTGGACTGAATTCATTCAACAATACGTCAAAAGTTCACAAATCGTATTTAGTTGAAGACATTACCCTTAAAAATTAAAAAATTTTCCCTCATTCCCTGCAAATGGGGGAAATATCCAAAAAAATTACAAATTTAAAAATCGGTAAATTTTGTCCTTTTTCTCACTTTTTTTCTTAAAACTTCCGTAACTTTTTGAAAAATCAACAAATCTACATAATTTTTTTTTATACTAAAACCTTAGATATTTCCCTTTCATTTGATATCATTTTTTTTGAAAATCTATCACTTAACCTGCTCATTGGAGGGGATTTAAAATAGAAACTTTTTTACAAAAATTAACTTTTTCAACTTAATTTTTGAAAATGTTCCGGAAATACTGCGTCCTTCAAACATATATCAAATTAAAGCTTTTTTTATGTACTATAAAATGAAAAAAAAAAATTTGTCCCGACAATTTATTTTCTGCATGTAAACGGCTGCCGTAGTTAAAAAAACTCTAATTTTGTGTTAAAATTTTCGATTTTAAATTTTCAACTTAAAAATGCTATAACTTTTTGAAAAATGTATATATCAGCACAAATTTTTTTTTCTAAATACATTATAAGTACATCTTTCATTAGACATAATTTTTATTAAAATTGGACAATTTCCCCTTATATAGGGGGCGTTCAAAACTTGAAATATTGTAAAAAACATAGATCTTTTTCAACTGAACTTTTGAAAATGTTCCGGAAATACTGCGTCCTTTAAACATATATCAAATCAAAGGTTATGTTATATACAATCAAATGAAAAAAAAAAATTTTCCCAGACATCTTATCTTCTATGTGCAAATGACTGTCGAAAATCTAAAAAAAAATGTAATGTTTGCGATAAAAATTACATTTTATCGGGATGTTTTTTGTACTTAAAACTGCCATAACTTTTTCAAAAATGAACAAATAAAAATAATATTTTTTTGTATTGAAACCTTAGATATTTCCCTTTCATTTGATATAATTTTTTTTGAAAATCTAACACTTATTCTGCTCA